TCCTTGGGGGCCAGGATGGCCAAACTTCGTCTCTCATACTTTGGACATATTATCAGGAAGGACCAGTCACTGGAGAAGGATATCATGTTTGGTAGGGTGAAGGGTCAGAGAAAAAGAGATGGATTGGCAAAGTGGCATCATCAATGGCTCAAACGTGGCAACAATTGTGAGTTTAGCCCAAGACCAGGCAGTGATTCGTTCTGTTGTACATAGGGTCACTATGAGTCGGTACCAACTCAATGGCACCTAACAACAACAATTTTCATGAAGCAACCAAACATTATTAGTCCTATAGTAAAAGTCAATATTCAATTTTACTAAAGTCATTATTTATTCCCCATTGGATTAATTCTGTCAATAAAATGAAACAAAGAGAAAAATATATCAAATCCATTGTCATCAAGCTCATTCCAACTCTTGGCAATGCCATATGTTTCAGAGTTAGAACTGCTCCATAAGGTTTTCTCAACTATCATCTTTACGGCAACAGATTTCCAGGCCTTTCTTCGGCAGCACTGCTAGGTAGATTTAAATCACCAAACTTCATGTTAGTTTTTGTTGTTGTGTGCCATCGAGTCGGTTCTGACTCACAACAACCCTATAAAGGGTTTCCAAGGAGCAGCTGGTGAGCTTGAACAATCGGCCTTGTGGTTCAAACTAACTTTCCAGTCCAGCACATTAACACACAGCACCATACCAGAACTCCTTTAGGTTGGTAGTCAAACAAATCTTTTGTGCAACCCAGGCACCTAGAAGCAAGGAGAGGCCCTGCAAAATAAGCACAGGCACTATTAATGCATGTGTTGGTTGTTCAAACCCAACCTTTGTAAACTCTGTGGGAGAAACTTGGCAATCTGCTCTATAAGAACTGAACCACCAACCTTTGGTTTGCATTTAAAGCGCTTCACCATTACCCCAAGGAGCTCTGGTAGCGTTGTTGTTGTTGTTAAGTGTCATCGAGTTGATTCCAACCCATAGTGACCCTGTATAGGGTTTCCAAGGAGCAGCTGGTGGACTTGAACCGCCGATCTTGCCGTTCAAACGGCAGGTGTATTTGCAGTCTGGCGCATTAATCCACAGCGCCACACCAGGACAACTTCGGTAGCATAGTGGTTACGAACTGGGCTGCTAATCTCCAGATCAGATGTTTGAAACTACCAGCTGTTTGGCAGGAGAAAGAAGAGGTTTTCTGCTCCCGTAAAGATTTACCTCTGTAAAGATTTACAGCCTTGGAAACCCTATACAGGGTCGCTATAAGTTGGAACCGACTCCCCTGCACATAACGGCCGTCATCACCATTGCACCACCAGGCATCGTGTCATAACTCCATTATTGTTGTTGTTCAGTGCCATCAAGTCATAGAGTCCCTGTGTAAAGTTTCCAAGGCGGTAAATCTTTGCCAGAGCAGAAAGAGTTAGAGTCATAATTATAACTCCTGGAGCGAGGCTGGTGAGCTCGAATCACCCATATCCCATAAAATCCCGACAAGAACACGCATTCCATAGAATTGGTTAAGAGTTGGGTTAATGCATGCAAACCATTTGTCATGCACATCTTGTCCTAAGGAAAAACAATAAAGAACAAGAAAACGACGTGCAGCAGGTGGGATCGCAGCAGCTGTGAAAAGATAGAAGTCTGCAAACCTATGCACAGGCTGCCAAACAGGAAAGCTTCTTCCATTAGCCGCTGTTCACATTGCCCCCGGAGTCTAGAAATTGGAGTATCTACTGGACACACATATATTCTGAAAGCAAACAGCACCTTTATTTACATCCCAGTTAGCTTTAAAAATTGCTTAGCCTTTACCTAGCACTGCCAATCCCAACTTTATCCTTGTAGCTCGCATTCTCCACAACCTATGTGTACTATCAGTAAAAAACCTGACTCCTTGTGACTTAAAAAGAGAAAATAAATACCTAAGACGTTGCTGGATATAGTTAAACCTTCGTTAGCAAGTCGAGGCAGTAATCCCCACTTTACGCTTTACCAGTGACAGCATGGCTTTTATATACACTGCACAATCGAAAACTGTAACAACAAAGAAACCACTGGTGAAATACTGTTTTCTCTATATAAACTTCCGCCTTCTAGAATTACTGTTGCTCCAACGTGAGTTGGTCAGACTCGATCTAGCCCCATACCCCAAAGGTGCTCTTTGCCAACAGTAGATAAACTGCCACAAACCAGTAGAGTCCAACATGAAGTTAGTGGCAACAGTGACAATAACAGCCATGGGCTCGGAAGCGTTCAGGCCATTTCTGAGCCCCTCTCACTACCGGGGGAACGCGGACGCTGGCTCGCTGCGGGTCGACTACAAACAGTACCTGTATCAGGCCCTGCTGGACCAAGGCGCTGTGCACACAGCCAGGGACAGTCCCCGGCAGCTTCAGCGAGCCGTTAGCATTGCGGATCGACCAGCTCCCCTGCAAGCTGTAGCTGTGCAGCCCGGCAATGCGGTACGCCTGGAACAGCGCGAGCAGCAAGAGCAAGTGAAGACGCATCTCGGAGCGGGCGCTGCTGGGACTGAAATGAGTGGGATCCCAGAGCTGCAAAGTGCTGTGAGGAAGCCGCTTGGCCGTCTCAAAAGGAGCTGAGGAACAAGCTTTCTCCGCCCCAGGGACGGGCCCGCCCCCAGGTCAGCTGAGCTGTCGGAACCCCTAGAGGCTCAGGCTGAGCAACCGCGCTGGGAACGTCACGGCTGCCGGCGCGGCCGCCTCTGCAGATGCCTCCAGATCTGCGCCTTCTTTTAGCCTTTAATCTCGCCGCCAGACTGTGTGATCGGCAGCGAGACGTTGCGAGGTAATTAGGTTTACCGATTTCTAAGCGCAAAGTGCTGGGACGTTGGGTGGAAACATCCACGAAAGAAGGTCATCACGGTTCACAAACACTGAAACAGTCCCCTTACTTCCGGTCCCTCAATATAGAGACCTCAATATAAAGCCCATCTGGCTCTCAACCCGCTGTTCTGGTAGCGTTATCCTTGTGTTGCTAATTGCCGTCGAATCAGTTCCGACCCATAACGACCTTGTATAGAGTTCCTGAGGAGAAGCTGGTGAGCTTGAACCACCGACCTTGTGGTTGAAAACGACTTTGCAGCCTAGCACATTAACCCACAGCGCTGCACCAGTACTCCATATCTCTCTCCCTTTAAAAAGTAAACAATGTTTACCAATAATAGTAAGGGTGTTTTGAGAAGTAACTGAAAAATGAGTGCATAGCGTGTAGCCTATGCTATTGTTATTTGTGGATTTTTGTCCCTCAGGTTTAAAAACCTCCACAGATGAAGGTTTTGAGGATTAGAGCAGGCAAATGAGTTTTAAATTCTTTGCCTCTCAGTAACTGTGAGACTTGGCTGCAAAAATCTCTAATATCTGTTTCCTAAACTCCAAAAGGTAAACAACTCCAAGGTTTTTGGATGGTTGTAAGCATGAAAAAGGTTTAACATACCTAACTGTCCCTAACAAGGCCAGGACCCAAAGAAGTAGCACAGATTTTGTTCTTTGGTGTGACATAGTAACAGAGGCTGTAACCATGTACCCAGGAAGCTTTTGTAAGGGGCAAAGACTTTGTGCAAAATCTTATTCATGATTACTGTATTGGATGTTTTGGGCTTTTTGTAATATCGATGTCGTTTTCAGTGAAGAATCTTTTGAAAAGTTAGTAAATTCTTTTTGTGAATCTGGGATTTCACACTACATGAAATAGACTGGCATCCATGTGACTACAGATTAACACATGGAGTCATGTTAGTTGATTCATGTTGATGTTATATTTGGTTCATTTCAGTACTTTGTTGTTGTTAAGTGTCATGAAGTTGGTTCCAATTCATAACAACCTTATAAAGAGTTTCCAAGGAGCAGCAAGTGGGTTTGAACCACAGACCTTTGGTTTGCAGTTCAGGGCTTATTCTATAGTGCAACACCAGAAGTCCATTTCAGTACTTAGGAAGAAGTTGGATAAGCACTGGACTGCTAACAGAAATGTCAGTGGTTCAAAGCCACCAACTGCCCCTCGGAAACTCAATACAGAGTCACTATGAGTCGGAACCAGCTCGATGACACTTAGCAACAACATTTAAAAGAGGTACTCACCAGCAGAGGCTCATGGACTGAGAAAGCAGTGTGCCTGCGAGTAGAAGGCTGACTTGTAAAATGTGCCCTTTGGACATTTAAACGAATATGTATTTTCAATGTGGTATGTGTACATCAAAAAAAAAAAAAAGGAATAGAGGTAAATACTGTTGGCTAAGGGTGCATGGAGAGAATTGTAACCATTACAATGATTTCTTGAATGTAAGACTCATGATCTGCCCTGTAATCTTTCACTCACACAATACACAATAAAAGCTTTTAAAAAGGGGGGGGGGGGAGGGGCTCTCTCCTCCTATCAAGTCTGAATTTTGTTTTGCCTTATAGCAGTCCTGAAATTGTCTTAATCTGTAGGCACTGGGCCATATCCTATTTTGCAGAAAAATATTCAACATTTTTCACCACCATGTTTCTTGACTTTAGGAATATTATAGATCATCTAGTCCAAAAATTGGATTTATAGCTGAGAGAGTTGGGGGTAGACAGGTCAACTGATACACTGACAAGAACCTTCCTTCCCAGCTCCGGGACTCCTTGCAGTGGAGTCCAGTGTCTTACTTATATCAAAGCCTTCCTCACTCCAGAAACTTTCATACTTTTGATATGAACAAAGCTCTCATATCAAGTTATATGTCATAAATTTTGTTTTCAATGGCAAACCAAGGTCTGTTCAACACAGATAACAAGGCTTACAGCAACAAGAGCGTCAACAGCATTTTTCCATTAAGTCAAAGCAGGAGAAAATTCATCCTAGCCAATGTTTCTCTCATGCTCTAATTACCAGCTGTTCCACAAGAGAAAATGAGGCTTTCTGCTCCTGTAAAGATTTACAGTCTCAAAAACACTGTATAGGGTCGCTATGAGTTGGAACTGACTCCACGGCACATAACCAACCAAGCAACCAATATGTTTGGACATATTCTGTTTTCTATGACGAAATATTTGAAGGAAATTTTTTTATTATTATTATAAGGAAAGAGACATCATTCCTCCTTTCATTTCATGCTGTTAGGATGACTTCATTTGAGGTTACTTCAGTTTGAGAATAGAAATTGTTCAAAAAAAGCAAAGTCCTGAGGTAGCTAGGGAGTTGGTGCAGTGAGATTCACCATCAGCAATACCACAGAATACCAGGTAAAGCAGATTCAGGGCAAAACTTCAACACTGGGAACCCCATAGGTAGGAATATTAAAAAGTTTGAAGGCTTATAGCTAGTGGAACTTGTAGAGAAAGTGAGAAATTCTGTACTTTTGAATCTGCCAAGCTCGGTGGCCCAGAGCTGACAATTTGGGTGAGAACAAATGGCAAGACCAAGCGGGGAAGCAGATACGCCATAGAAAAACGCCACGGGAACCTCAGAGCAAAGGAGGACAATACACTTTGTCAGTTTTGCTTTGTTCTGATTTCTTTTCTTGATATCTGTTCATTGCCCTCCCCGCCCCCCATTGTTTGAGAACCTCCATTCTGGTGACTAGAAGGGGTGCCTGGGTGAGTGGACAGCCCCCACCCTCAACACTGGTGGATTCTTCTGCCACGCATATGTACAGATGCTCTCAGTCCAACAGCCAGCCCTGAACTGGTTTTTTTTGTTGTTGTTTTTTTTCAATACAGAAAAGGGAAAGAGAGTTTAAAAACAAAACAGGTCAAAATTAAATTAAATCCTGAAGTACAGCATAACAACCAACAGTGGCATCTTGAACTATCTCAAGCAGCTTTGACGGCAAGAAGCTGAAAGAGGACATTAAAGCCAGAGCTCTGGTAGCATAATGATTACGAATGGGACTGCAAACTGTAAGGTCAGCAGTTTGAAACTACTAGCTGTTCTGCTGAAGAAAGATGAGGCTTTCTGCTCCCGTAAAGATTCACAGCCTCAGAAACCCTGTACAGGGTCGCTATTAGTCGGAACCAACTCCATGGCACATAACTACCACCACCATATTAGGCTACTGATTTTGTTTTTCTTCTCTCCCTCCTCTCCCTTTTCTGTGATTATAGACTATAGTATCCAGTCTAGTTTTTTTGTTGTTATGTTGTTGTTTTACAGTCTCAAAAACACTGTTGTTTTGGTATTTTGGTGTTTTTTTCCTTTTGCTCTTTTATGCTCCTCCTTCTGCCTTTGGGGGACTCTTTCCCTATATTACCCAAGAAAAGACAGCAACACCTGACAGATAGTCAAGCTACTATTACACTCTATAAAACACCAAATCCAGGAAAGAAACAATACCAACTGCCATATGTCAGGGAGGCAGACAACACCTGTGAAAGTTACTCTGAGTTAAGCAATAAGAAGAGTGAAAAGGGAAGTCCACATCCTGATCACATCTACCTGGAAGCAATCAGAAAGCATAAAAAAAAAAAAAAAAAATCAAAACACACACTTGATTAAGTATTAAGGTCACAGATAAACACTAAACATGTCCAAGAAGGAAAACAGATGACCATATCAGCACATGTCCAGAAACAAGATAAAATGTCTGAGTCAAATGACCTAGATGACCATATCAGCACATGTCCAGAAACAAGATAAAATGTCTGAGTCAAATGACCTAGAGGTAGACCTGGACTCCATTCTGGAAGGAGGGCAGGCCTTGGAAATCCCTGAGAAGGAATTCAGAAAATGATTATAAAATGTATCAAAACACTTTTCAGTGGAGTTGAGAAAAATAAGAAAGAGTCAGGAAAGTGCTACAGGAATAATTAAGATAGATACAGCATTGGAAACAATTCAAAACCTACAGAAAGAGGTAGAAACGATCAATAATAGAATATCAGAAATAGACAATACACTGAAAGAGCAAAGCAGTAGAATAGAAGAGATAGAAGGCAGAACCAGTGAGCTAGAAGATACATCTCTCAATACCACTAAGATAGAAGAACAAACACACAAAAGGATAAAAAAAAATCTGAAGAAGGTCTAAGATTCATGTTGGACAACATGAAGAGGAATAAATTAAGAATTATCAGCATCCCAGAAGAAGAAGAATCACACAAGTCCACAGAGGAAACAGTTGAAGAACTGCTGGAAGAAAATTTCTCTAACATCCTGAAAAGTGAAAAGATAAACGTTCAAGAAGCTCAACGAACCCTGGAAGGATAGATCCAAAAAAAAAATCACCGAGACATATAATCGAGCTCTCCAAAATCAAAGATAAGGAGACACTCCTAAAAGCAGTAAGGAAAACAGAAGTGTTATGTACAAAGGCAAGCAAGTCAGATTAAGCTCATATCTCTCAGCAGAAACCATGCAAGCAAGAAGGCAATGAGGAGACAGATATAAAACCCTGAAAGAAAAAAACTGCCAACCAAGAATTCTTTATCCAAAAAAAAAAAAGAATCCTTTATCCAGCAAAGCTATCAGTCAAATATGACAGTGTAATCAAAACATTCCAGGATAAACAGAAGTGAAGGGATTT